GCAACCGCGATTGCCGTTAAGAGTATGACTGGAAGTAGTAAAGCTCGCGTAGCGAGCTTGACATTGGGCATCAGCCAACCATCGCGGAATATGCCATTAAGAGCGGCCGCGGGGCGAGACGTGGAATACCAAAGTACGAATTTGATTGCCATTTGGACATAAAGTACTCCGATAGTCCAGTCCTGCACAAAATGAATAACGTGTGTCTGTGCACCAGCCAGGTACGTATGCACGGGAACCAACACGTAAAGCTCCATTACCAGAGCGAATAGTGTTGGTAAGAAGACTGAGAACGCCAAAGCGATGTAGGCGAGCCGAAGGGCATTGGCTACAGCGCCGGCCAACCCGAGACAAGCCTGGCGAGGAGACTGTAAGTATGGCCTAAAACGGTCCTTCACCGTAGCTAAACTGGTGTGACAGTACAGCGCAAGATAGGCAGCGCTACCAACTATGCAGATGCCTGCTGAGAAGGCATAGATGTCGTTCACAGGTCGGTTGGGGAAGTGCGACGACATCATTCTCCGACCGACGACCAATGGAATAACTGTGACGCCTACGCCAGTAGCAGCCGCGAACACCCATATTGAGAAAATGAATGCGGCAATCCGCGTTCGGAAAAAGGGAGGAATGTAGACCTTCGTAAACATGGGATTCGCTCGGCTGTGTAGTCCCTCGTTCGTCTCGGGAAGGCCATCGATCCTTTCATTTGATTCTGACACCTCCAGAAACACGAAATTACCCTTAGGAATCCGGACCTGATCGGATGCAGGGGCGCGGACAAATTTACCATCCCGAACAAAGTAGGCATCAATATGCTTGTCATCAACGTCACGTCGCTGTTCTCCATTTTTTACAGGGTGACCAGTATCTCCTTTTGCCCGCGATAGCATAGCCCACCAAGACCGTCGTACATGGTAACCTTCCTCATCTGGTTGCCTCTCATTGAAAAAGAAGTTGGTCAGTCGTAAGAAGTGTGCGCACTTATGGAACCACCAATTGTAGAGACCATGCAATCCATCCGAAGGTTTGATTGATCGAATTACAAGTGGCATGAGGAAGTTGTAGAACAGGAGGTCGACGGGGAATTCTAGGACTGGCATTGTGGCAGACCAATGGATAGGGAGCACATCGTCGAACGCATAATACAAACCCCAGACGACACCACCAAGACAAATGATGACTAGAGCGCCATACACAAGAGCACTGAATGCAATCTTGCGTAGTTGGGTGGTGATACTACGCTCTAGAACATCGCGCACGGGATGGAAGGTCGGATCATCAGGATCGCGAATAAAATCTGTGAAATGCTGTGAGCAGACATTATCGAAACATAGGGGAGGTCGAACTTACAGAGAACACCACTTCTCATGATTTTCCTGCACATGGACACAAAAAGAGCAAAGTGAAACATGTAACAGGTGCCAATGAACCAATGCACAAACAATGAAGTAAGTGGGGACGACGATGTAAATTCAAGGCGCGATGCAATGGTAGCGTTCTCAAAGAGAGGTAGCAATGCGACATCAAGCAAAGTACCGCAATACAACGGGAAAACAATCATCTCAATCCCAATAATCAAGATGACTTTCATAACTCCACCAGCTTGATGCAGAACGTCGGCAACTATGCCTTCGACCCTCTGCTCTCTGTCCGCACCAGATAGCAGGGTAGTGATACGAAGGTACAGTAGACCCAAAGCTGAGGCTAAGAGATAGCCCATTAAAATGGCAATGACCCGATCCTTGGTGTCCCATACGGCCAGTTCGTAATCCACAGTTATGGCACCTGGAGTTAATCCCGTCATGCTTGCATTAAACCACTTTGTGTTGGAAGAGAAGAGTACTTGGTTCCCAAATTTATAAAGTTGACCGCGAGCCTGGGGTATGACACTGATGAACTCGACAATTCCGTGCTTGAACGACTGGGAATCAGGCACTTCAGTAGCAAGTAACCGGAGTGGGAAGTCGTGTAACACAAATTTGCCTATTCCAAAGCATAGCCGAAACAAACTGGTGACACGCTCTTGATGTATCTTCAGTGCTTGGTGAGAGAGGAGAGAGAACATGGGAACATCCGACTCATGGAACACAAAGAAGGAACTAATCACGTTGCCTAACCGATGGCTGCTAGCATCAATGAGCGAAAGCGAAGCGGTGGTTATAGATTTTGTCTGAGGAATCCAGTCACCCAGAGGAAGTAGAGCACTAAGGGGACTCAATAACAGTTTGACGATAAGACTGGCCCCATACATGACATATCCCAGGATGCCAATTAAAGTGTCAAGTGTAACATCTGCAAAAACTGATACTGCCGTCATCGGGACGCCAAAGACTAGTTGTATAGGGTTGGCTAGAAGGACGAGGGCGATTTTACCCCAAAGATAAGGCAGCCAAATTCCGACGGAAACTGTGAATGATATAAGCAGCGCGCTGAATACACCATTCTGTAGGAGACCGAAGATCGGACCCTGCATCCCAATAAGTTCTAGAATCCCCTCTAGATCATCACCGTCCTCGACAGCGTCAACATCGTTCCCGTCGATTCCGGCATCCGCAAAGATCCCTTGATTATCCTGTGCGCCGGCATTGGCAAGGCGTCGATTGTTTTGCAAGGGCACAAAGGGTTCTTCCAATGCAGGATCCTCAACTACGTGTTCCTCATCCGGCTGTGGGCGCTCTTGAGCCTGATCATCAGGCGTGATGTCGGCCCAGAACCAGTCAAAGAGCTTGGTAACCAAATTCCTAGGAAGCGCAGGGTTGGGATGATCCGTCTGTGTTGGGGCCGGCACGTTTGCAGCTGGTTCCTGGTTCAAATTGGCAGTGTTGTTTGCACTTGAGGGGTCATGAGAAGTAAATTCCTGGACAGCCCCAACCAAGTCATTTGCTGACCTACGAGCATCTGACTGTGGCTCCCGATCGTCTTCGCTTCCAGGTTCGAGTTGCGGGGAATTGAAAGCGAAGTCAGTGTGCAACTGGTCCACAGAAGTATCATTTCTACCGTGTGGGCTCGCGATATCCCAGGGCCGACCAACAGGAGTTGACGACTGAGATCCAGTGTTCCAGTGAGAATCCGGTAGCGACGGACCTGCGGAAGCGATTGTGTTATGGCTTGCGGGTTCCGAGTCTGCCTCGCCCGGATGCGGAGCATAACTAGATGGGCCTGGGGAGTTTTGATTATGAGGCCAGGATATTATAGGACTATCACTGCGCTGAAGCTTTGTCATGGCTGTGACAACCCAGCCGAGCTCATCCTGACGGCCCTCTTCGTGTATGATTCTTAGGACCTGTTCAGGGTCACCGTGACCACGTGACCAGAGGTCTCTGAAGGTCTCGACGCCAGGCCAGGCTTGATTGATCTGGGAGGCTGATTCCGCTGCAAGATCATTGCTCGATTCATCGTCATCGCTCTCAAGGTTCCGACGGAAGGAAGCCGATGTACTGAGTTCATCCACAAACGCCATATCATCATCCCGAGCCGACATGTTCCTAGAAGGCGAGTCCACCTCAGCTACAGCGTGATCGAAGCCATCTTCATGGTCGTGAGCTTCCTGTTCCTGTTGTTCGTCGTCTGGATGTAGATGTCTATGATCTCCTAGGCGAGGATTTTCGTCCACAGGATTTGGGCGATTATTCGCTATTAGCTGGACAGCCGCTTCTCGTTCTCCATCGGCGATATTAGCCATCGGTTGTTGCTGGACAACCCATTCACGAATCAGGAAAATTAGAATAAAGGATATCACAACAAGCAACGTAATCAATTGGCCCTCCAGTGTGTCGATGAGAATATTGTTAATCGTGGGTGACGGTGTGATATTATTCAAAAATTTGACGTCAGACAGCCACGAGGGATGCCGCTGTTTATAGAATCCTACCGTTATATTTGAAGTTCTTCCGGTTGTTGAACTGGAACTTGAGGACATCGCCGGGAAGAAAAGGGCAGAAAATGATTTCTTTACAACGGTAAGTAGTAGCGGCTCGCCTGATGAGAAGCTAAACATTGACGATGGCGGTGACGGCATAGACTGTGTATCGGCAGTGTTCGTTTCAAATGTAGAGGCCACGGCTGAGCTTGTCGCAACACCTGCACTATGAAGCGAAGCAGTGCTGTTTGCAATTACTTGAGAAAGGCGTTCCTGGGTCGGTCCTTGCATAGCGTTATCCCCACCGGACCAGCGGCCATCTGCAAGCCAGAACAGCGCTCGCCAGATCGCCCTCATGGACCAGGGTAACCATCCAAGCCAGACGAATGCAACAAGAACGAATCGCAGCCATGTCACCACGGTGCGAAAGCTATGAACCAACAACTGCTTCAGGAATAGTGGCGTTGGCAAATCCTGAGGCATGTTTGGGTCGTATAACTTTGTAAAGCGAAACGGTGTTTTGCACAGCTCACAATGCTTCTTCTGCGAGTGTGATAGCCACTCCACCAAGCATGCCTGGTGGACAAATTTGATACTACCACTGCATTTGCAAGGGTAGAACAGTTGTTCTTCTTCCGTACCTTCGCCCCGACATATTCGGCAAGTATCAGGTTCTTCCAAGTCCCTTTCCTTTCCTCTGTAATTTGTAGCGTACGCTGGGTCATTCATCACGTCTGGAAAAGATGGTGCGGCGCTTCCTGCATAGTCGAAGCGTTGATCCGTCGGGGGTTCCATGATTTCGACAAGCTTGAGTCGACGATCCGATCGTCATTAAAAGCGATAGCAAGATACCATGTCTATAGTTTCCCCGAGTCGCAAAGTGACTAGGAGTGAGATATGAGGCCGGCGAGCTAGGGTATCTATGCTAAGTCCCCTTACCCTCGAAAACAAAGAATACTTGAGAAATGATGACAGGCATCGATGTCAGTTTACCATAGGAGATGATGACTCAGCACTGGCGACGCCACATATTGTATCACGTGGGGATACAGTATGTTACAGATAGGGACAGAGTTGATAACTACCGGTGAGGTACCCTAGTGTAACATGTTGTAAGACGGCAGATGGGCGGAACTAAACGATGACCTCACTTCAGCCTTCGTGCATTTGTCCTGAAGTCCCTGTTAGTTTGATGCTATTGTGGTTGAACTTTCTTCGAGCAATTTTTACGTATTGGGATAAACCAGCTCTTGATAGACTGTATTTATTGGCTTCTACGAAGTGCATCATATTTCACCAAAAAAACACGCGCCAAGACCTGGACCTTCGTCGCGTAAGAGTCTTGTTGAACTTAGCGAAGGGCTAGGTTATCGAGTCTAGCCTTCGGTTCCATTTTCTGCTGAAGCACAGACAGTGTGGCCCCGTGATGCAATTGCGATGATCTAGAGAGCACTGGCAAGTTGTTCGAGTCCTGTATCTATTTGAATTATACACGCAACGGCACGCAAGCGCTAGCATCGAGCGACTCAAAACAGACTCCAATTACCGAGGCGAGGTCACCAGCGATGACCACCTCAGATAGCGGCCATGCCTCAGATGGCATTGTTAAGGATGTGGGAAATAAAGAGGTCCAACCAAAATCTAGAAACACAAATATTTTCCGATGGACGCTCGGATTGGTGGTGCGGTATGCTTGCATTCATGTCTTGCTCTAGATTTTACAGCCACGATCTGACAAACAACCTATTAATTTAGGCTTTGTATCTGGTATACATTGCTCACCCCATTTTTTCGATGCCCGGTTCAACTATCGGGCTTGAATGAGTCCTCTCCGCGAGTCTGCAAGCCGTATCTTGTCGCCCGCTCCTATGTTGAGCCTCACGTTCTTCCATACTACAACACCTACGGCGCGCCTTACGTTGAGAAAGCCCGTCCGTATGTGGTGGTTCTCAACGAGAAGGTTTATACTCCTGCCGCGGATGTCGCTAAGCTTGGCTACGATAAATACGGTGCACCTGCTTTGGACCAGGCTCATGCTTACGGATCCAAGCAGTGGGAAAAGCAAGTTGCTCCTCTTGTACAATCCGCAAAGGATGGTGCGAGCGAGTTGTATAATGCCGAGGTAGCACCTCAAGTCCGAAGGGTCACGGCAGCGGTGTCGCCTTACTATCAAATGGCGAACTCCGCCTTTGAGACAACATGCGTTGGTTATATTCAACCTTTCCTTGCTCGGACAAGACCCTTCATTGGAAAGACATATACCTCTGGTCAGAATGTTCTAACAACTACGGTCATGCCCTATGTTCAAACGTCATGGTCATCCGTTATCTATTTTGTGAACAGCTGGTTGTGGCCACAAGTTACCGGTCTTTACTCCGAGAATGTTGAACCTCAATTAGTCAAAATCGGGCAGAGACTAGCCAGCTATCGTGAGGGAAAGCAGCTACGCAAGGTTGTGGATGAGGTTGACAGGTGAGTTTTTGATCCTAACGAACACTCAGTTGGCTGACCTCGAGTGCCTTAAGCTCTTCGGAACAACAAGCTAGTGTTGTTTCCACGTCATCAGAAGCCAGCAAAACCGAGTCATCTTCCACAACTTCTACAACTGTGGTCTCATCCACATCTCGTGCATTGTCCCCTACAGAATTGGCAGCACAGACTCGGGAGAAGATCGAGTCAGACCTGCGGACCTGGCAGGAAAAGTTTTCAGTGGCTGCTGATAAAGGTGTCGAAGATCTTGAAGAGCGCCTATACGAGCTTGTCGGGAACTATGTAAATGGCGGGGCCAAGTATCATGGGGAGAGCCTTGTAACGGCTCTGGAAACCGCTGTGGAACACGAGCTCTCGGCTGTCAAGCTTCGTATAGGCGAGTTGACTGAGGCTTTGCCTAATGAATATTCTCCCGCGGAGCAAACGGCGCAAAGTGAACTTCTGAAGGACATCAGACAAGCCGCAGTCATCATTAGGGATCGCGCTCATGCTATCCGAGAATGGCACAATTCATTTGATCAGGAGTTAGTGCACCGTGTCTCTTCCAGAGTAAATTCTACCCTAGATGTGCTTGACAGTGTGCGTGACCTGGGGCTCCAGGAAATAGGCATGCGCTGGGCTTGGATGGATGGTGTTACCTACAAAGATTGGGCAAGGTATCATGCACTGAAAGCACAGTTTGAAGATTGGAAGGGTAAATTCCGGGAGGTTGGCATGCGCCATCCAAAATTGGAAGATGCCAGGGCACTCTCAGATGATATCTTATCTCGTGGAATGGATACCGCCGAAGCTGCCGCGAAAGAGCTTGCCAGGCTGAAAGATGTCGGTAGATGGAAGATTGCGGCTCGGGAAGTAAGTGACAACTTCGATACTAGGTCCGGCCCTCCTCCACCACGGCCAATGCCTAGTGAGCCGTCCAAGCCCGCTCCCGAAGAGCATACCCTAGATACAGACTCTGCAGATCACGAAGCTTCAATGCACCATGAAGCCGGCAACGCTAGCTCAGCAGCACAGGGTATTGCGGAATCCGAAGACCAAGCGCTGGGCCATGACGATGCACCTATAGCACATGACCAAGTCACTTCGGAGGGCGGGGAATCTTCGAGCGAAGAACTGGAGCCATCTGATGCTCGTGCGGAATCTGATAGTCATATAAAGACCGACCCACTCACAACGCAGCCAACTGACAGGGAGGAAGACACCACGAGATCAACTTGGGGCGTAGCTGCAGCTGAAGCTATGTCGAAACAAGGCGGAACTGAATTCGAGGAAGTTCCCGAGAATATTCACAGTGGTTTCAATAGTGCTCGTGAAAACTATGCGGATGCTGAAAGATCAGCTGGAGCGGGATCATCTACGTCGCTTGAGCAGGCGGCTCACGAACAACTCGATGACACTGACAACCTTCATAAGCCCCAAGCCCCAAGCCCTTCCAGCGCTCATTATGAAGCTATTGAAAACCTCGTCTCTGAGCTGCTCGCCGGGAAAGACCCTTCTTTTGCCCAGGACGTGATGGACAAACTACACGCTATTTATGGTACCTCACACTCCGAACCACAGAGAGATTATGTTGCAAACGATAGGACGGCTTCCATTCTATCCTCATCGGCTACTAGCATGCCCGTTGGTGAAGACTCTGTAAAGGATAATTTTGAACAACCTGAAGGTTTTACACCTGTTGCGGAGTCTGCCGCTAGCAGTGATGTTTACACCCCAAGCGAGCCTGCTTTTCCTTTGGAAAGCACAGAGGAACAGCACACAAGAACTGCTACCAACAAAGACGACTTCATTCTGGACACCACCGAGACTGCATATCGTATGCAGAACTCGGGCGACAGCCTTGAAGAGACGCCTGCTAGAGACGATGTATGATCCCAGAAGATACGCAAAGTTTGCTTGCTGCGAACCCAAATTCTTTGATTGGAGAAATATATGGTTCGGTTCAACGCGATACATATGCATGATATCCCCCTCTTTATTCCCTCCCACTAGCTTGATTATCCTATCAGATTGATCATGACCTTACTTATTCCCCACATAGTTTTCTGCGAGTATGTTTTGGTACATTATATTGCTGATTTTTTTGTGTTTGCGGATACTCCTGCAGCCTAATGATTGTTGTATGCACTAGCACACCACTGGATTTGTAAGTCTATATATGTGCACATCATTAACGTACATTTATGTGAGAACGTAATTCAACACATTTTTCTTCATACTATGTATGCCCAACGTTGTAAGATATTGTACCTAATTCTTTCATAACGACGAGATCGCCCATACTGTACATGCAGTAGTTGATTCCAACAGATCATCGATACTGTACTCTCTGGCCTCCCCTTTTCTCCATCTTCTTCTGCCTCTTACTCTCCGCAACAGCTGGTTCTGTTCCGCCCATCCCGCCAAGTCCGCTCTTCATCCCTGTGAAAGTGGTATATGCCAACCAGACGGAATACAAGGGCACCACAATCCACAACCACCAGGCGCGATCGCCAAAAACACAGACCGCGCCAATACAACCCCATGTCCAATACAAGACATCCCACATATATTCTGTTAAACCGGCCGCCCCAAGGTCCTCTCCAGAAGAGCGAAGAGAGCCATCAGGGGGATTATAGCGTGGACGGCCGAGGCGGTCCAGATAGAATTCGATAGCTAGAGTTGGACACGCAAGGACAATATAAGGCGTTAAAGAGCGCGGGCGGTTGAATATCCAGTGGAGAAGTAGGAAGACTGCATGAAGACAAAGAGTAGTGATATGGGTACGGAGTAAACGAGAGGCATTTCGAGTGGCGAGTGTTTTTGCTGCTTTCTTGAGAGTGTCAGCCCTTTAGCAGCCATGAACATATGAGACCAACAGGGGATAATGGAATTGAGGGAAACAAACTTGTGCCATGTTGATCGGTCGTCCAAAGATTAGTAGAACTGAAGTATTAATGTCGGTTGTGTCGTTTGATGTGCTCAGAATGAATGTAGATAACTGTAGATTGTAACAATCGATAGCTCCTTGCAGGTATTAGGTTATATATACAGAAACTAGGCCATTTCCCCTAATAGCGACAGATCAAGATCGAAGCTAGTGCGGAAGCTCAACGTGGTACTTAGTTCGCTGGTGGAACTTTTTGGATTGACAGACGATTAGGGAATGGCGTTGCCCACCACAACCAGACAAGCGCCCGCGCCTCCACCAGCCACTAAGAGTGGTGCATTGAACTGCCGCCCCAAAACATCTGATGGCTGAAAAGACATCGTGACGACAATCAGGATCGCCTCTGCCACATCCCACTGCATCTCTCTTGGCGAGACTTTGCTGACCCCGCGCAGCTCTCCTCTTTCAACTGTTCGACCATCATTCGCGACATGCAATTTACTCTCCTCTGAGTCTTAACCTGGCCCAAAGGGGCGTCACGAGTTGACCGGACGTCATTCACTCTCCGAGACACGACCCTGTATAATATCGCGGGTAAAACAACTGAGGGATTCTGTGAAGGAAGCTATAGGGAAACGTCTCTCAGAGCGATACTATCACTCATTTCCCTCGGTCGGCGGTCCCCTGGCTATTAACACAACTTTGCATCCGCGCATCACAAAGAATCTTGTGGTTCCCTCGTCGCCGGAATTTCTATCAAAGAGCGCTAGGTCTCACGTACTGCCTACCAAATGCTTGCTCTTCTTGCGTCAACTTCTCCCTGATCATTTCCTACCTATCTACTCGATCCTCCACTGTCATCACGACCGACACCGCGCCTTGTTCTTAAATCGCCAGATTCTCCGTGCCCTCAAGCCTAAACATTCACACCCCAACATGTCGCCGTCGACATCCCATATATCGGGGCAGCTGAGGCAGCTAATATACTATCATCTTGATAACAATCTGATTCGAAATGCGCTATTCCTTGCTGGTCGTCTGCATGCCTATGAACCCCGAACATCGGAGGCTTCCTATTTACTCTCCCTATGCCATCTACTCAACGGGCAAATAAAGGCGGCTTATGATTACAGTAAGAACTTTGGGTCGAGGGGTACTCACTTGGGCTGCTCTTATGTGTATGCCCAGGCGTGTCTGGACTTGGGAAAGTATCTTGATGGCATTACGGCGCTGGAACGGAGCAAAAGCCTTTGGACTTCTAAGAATCATTGGAGTAAGCATTCCGTCCTTCGTTTCTCATTGTATACGTAGGCTAAATACTCTCGTCAATGTGACTGAGGCTAATAATCTCCTATCGAATGTATAGACAGACACAGCGAAACACGCAGGCAGCACCTACCCGACGCGGCCGCAGTTCTGTGCTTGCAGGGTAAACTATGGCACGCTCATAAAGACCTCAATAAGGGAGTAGAATGCTACGTCGAAGCTTTGAAACTGAATCCTTTTATGTGGGATGCCTTTCTGGGTTTGTGCGAGACAGGTGAGTTTTGGATGCCTCCCCCATAATTGCACTAAAAAACTGATCGCCCTATGAAGGTGTCAATATTCGAGTCCCTAATATTTACAAAATGAGCTCCGAACTACTTACTGTTCTATCGTCGTCACAGGAAGATATCGATCTCCCCCCTGACAAAGCTGTACCTGCAGGTGGGCCGTTGCAGGCTTCAGCAAATGTGAATCCAAGCCTGGACCCCTTCATGTCTGCCGCGTCCCGCAGTGATTCAGGCACTACACATGGAAGCTCTGCCTTATGGGAGAAATTGAACGGAAGCACAGTCAGCGTGGCATCGAATGGGACATCAACACCAGCTGTTCGGGAAGGAACAGAGACCCCGGGTGGCCAGAGCAGTGAGTCTGATGAATTTCGTGTGGCTAATGGGATTGGGGATACATCGTGGGAGCCTCCCTTAGCTCCGGCCAGAAAAAATCGCACTATTCAGTCGATCGGGGCAGATCATGTAATGGATCCTCCGCCGAAAATGAAGCCTACGGGTATTAGACAAAGGACGAGAATGAGAGTTGAACAAGACGAACAAACGACAATCCAAGTGGAAAAGGAATCTGTGATGGGATCCAGAGTTGGCGACCGAAAACGAACGGTTTCTGGTCAGGTAGCTCATCCATCGGCACCAACAGAACCAGGAGCTCCTCAACGCCGCAGCGTACGTCTTTTCAACCAGATTAAGCCCACAACTAGCAAGCTCTCGTCCACGGCATTAGGCACAAAGGATGGCAGGGAGCTCAAAAAGGTAAAAGCTACTGGTGCTAAGGGGCGTACTGCGGCAACCACGAGTGTAGGTCGTGTTGTGAGCGGCAATAGGAAGCATGCCGGTGAGATACACGAGAGCGATGGGAAAGAACATCGACCTATATCGACTGTTAATAATGGGGCTGCCAATGTTGCCTCTAAAACCGCGACGATTGAAAAGTCGAAGTCCATTGAAGCCCTGACTTGGCTGTTGGAGCTTTTCTCCAAATTGGCTTCGGGATACTTTGCTTTGAGTCGTTATCGGTGTACTGATTCTATACAAATATTTAATGCGCTTTCTCAGGGTCAGCGAGAGACGCCTTGGGTTCTTTCGCAAATCGGGCGAGCGTACTACGAGCAAGCAATGTATTCAGACGCCGAGAAGTATTTCGTGCGGGTGAGAAACATAGCACCGTCCAGATTGGAGGATATGGAGATTTATTCGACTGTTCTCTGGCATTTGAAAAACGATATCGAACTAGCCTATTTGGCGCATGAGCTAATGGAGGTCGATCGTTTATCACCCCAAGCATGGTGCGCTATTGGCAATTCCTTCTCACACCAACGCGATCACGACCAGGCCCTAAAGTGTTTCAAGCGAGCGACACAATTAGATTCTCATTTCGCCTATGGCTTTACCTTGCAGGGACACGAATATGTAGCAAATGAAGAATACGATAAAGCTCTGGATGCCTATCGGCATGGCATCAGTGCCGATAGCCGCCACTACAATGCGTGGTACGGATTGGGCACCGTATACGACAAAATGGGCAAACTTGACTTTGCTGAACAACATTTCCGTAACGCAGCAAGTATTAACCCTACAAATGCGGTGCTCATCTGTTGTATTGGTCTGGTCCTGGAAAAGATGAACAGTCCAAAGGCAGCTCTGATTCAATATGGACGAGCCTGTTCATTGGCACCGCATTCCGTCCTTGCTAGGTTCCGCAAGGCTCGCGCATTGATGAAACTGCAAGAGCTCAAATTGGCTCTAGCGGAATTGAAGATCCTTAAAGATATGGCCCCAGACGAAGCAAACGTGCATTATCTCTTAGGTAAACTCTACAAAATGCTGCATGATAAGGCCAATGCTATCAAGCACTTCACCACGGCATTGAATTTGGATCCCAAGGTAAGCGTCATATCAACGTTACACGATGGGGATATGATCACTAACCCTTCTACCTTTAGGCGGCACAATACATAAAGGACGCTATGGAATCACTAGATGACGAAGAGGAGGACGATGAAGATATGGCTTGATTTCTACGGCTTTCCTTTCCCCACCTGTCCCAAGCTTTCCTAAACATCCGCACATATGACACATTCTTTACCTTGCTCTCATCTGCTTCGGTTTCTCAACATTTGGTCTTGAGCCACGTCCCTGCTTGGGGTTCTAATTCATGACGGTTGGCGTTTTTCACTATTTTTCTCCTTTCTGGGTCAAATCTGCGTGAGCATTAGCATTACACGGGCGTTAACAGGCCGGTTGGGTAGAGAGTGCGTTTCCCAGCATCAGGCTCTCGAAAAGGTGTCGAGGCTCTTTGGTTCTGTACATTAGCGTGGGTTGGCTTTCTCGCGTTTTAACTGCGAATGAGACATGAAGACACCAGGCGACAGATTCGTGGACATATACCGTCTGTCGTGCGAGGCATTTTCATACTCAATTTATCTTTATGCAAACATTCTTTCTTACTCCGTACATTTGGAGGAACTCAACCGAGGTAAAGCCAGTAAGATGCTCATGAAATGCACAGTCACCTGCACATCGGGGATGGGAAGGCGGTGAGCGGGCCAACAAAATTCGCCAGAAAAAGGCGGAAGTGGAAAGACGATAGTGTGGTAGTTCAGTTTCACTGCATTTGTCTACTTTATTGGGGTCCTTAATATTCCTAATGCTCTTCTTCTAAGTGTTCGTGGGAGTCTCTTCTTTCTATTAATATTTATATCGGCCATTGCCATGCCCCAACCGCTTCTGTGATTCTCCCGTGCACCCCTGCTGTTCCCGAGACTCTCTCGCCTGACCTCATCACCACTGGACAGTAGCAAGTAAGGATGTTCCTTTCTTTCCTTGGACAGCCTATATAGTTCTAACGCTCAACTTGGGGACTAGAATTTTTCTTATAGACAACCGCTTGTTCTTCCCACCATGTCCTTCCTGTCCTACGTTGCCTCGGGCATTAGCTCGTTCGTTGTCGTCACGCTTTCACTTTTCACCCTTGGCCAGAAGATTCCCCGCGCAGCGTTCGTTGCTCGCTGCTTGGCCTCCTACGGTTCTCTTCTCCTATGTGCCACTTATGGCGTAATCGCTTCGATTGTCTTGCGCCTGGTCGGCTACGGACGGGTGTCGCAATGGGCCACCGCGCGCAGCTTCAAGTGGGTCATGCGGTATACAACCGGCGTACACTTTGACATTGTTGAAGGCCAGGAGCATCTCTCCACCCGGCCAGCGGTCTTTATCGGAAATCATCAATCGGAGCTGGATGTCCTCATGTTGGGTTCTATCTTTCCCCCGTACTGCAGTGTCACGGCCAAGAAATCACTACGCCATGTGCCCTTCCTTGGTTGGTTCATGTCTCTTTCTCGCACCGTATTCATCGACAGGGCCAATCGCCAGACGGCTGTAAAGGCTTTTGACAGCGCTGCAGAGGAGATGCGCAATCACCGTCAGAGTGTCTTCATCTTTCCCGAGGGTACAAGAAGCTACTCGGACAAGCCGGGGCTACTGCCGTTCAAGAAGGGCGCTTTCCATCTCGCTGTGAAGGCCGGGGTCCCTATTGTTCCTGTTGTTTCTGAGAATTACTCGCATGTTCTGTCTCCCCGGCACTGGAGGTTCAATGCTGGTTCAATCCAGGTCAAAGGTATGCTTTTCCTATCCTTATCCCCTTTGAGCAAATGCATATGTGAACGAGACTGACACCTCCTAGTCCTCCCTCCCATCAGTACTGAGGGTTTGACTGCGGCTGATGTCGATGCCCTGACTCAGTCGGCTCGGGAATCCATGCTCAAGACTCTACTTGAGATGTCCGAGAAGAACGAAACCGAGGTTTATAACTCGCTTGCCAATGGTACATCTACTGCCGTTGAGATCTGACTTCGTTGCATTGAGTTATGACAATAAACTTTTTTTTCCTCGGCATCCCCTTCATCGAAACGCCAGATCCCCGCATCATTGCACGAACAAGTTGAAACGCGACATGAGACATGAATACCGGGCGTTATTGTCCCTCGTACCACCCGCTAATAATCATTGTCTTCTGCTCTCCAGCACAGAACTCGTGACAGGGCACTTCAATAAATTCTGTCTAGAAACACGGGCCTGGGTTTTGCATTACTTGTAGACATGAGAAACAACATGAGACAGAGCGGTCGGCCCCGATGAAACGTTCATTATAATCGCTTCCTATACCTCGTGGAGGACCTTTTACCCCCAAGGTGTATATAATGTCATCCGTTTAGGAGTACCAGGGTTTCCCCTCCCGCTGTATATCCTGAACCAATTCTGTATGTAGGCTACCAGATCAATAGAGCATATCCACTTGGTGTTCGAACCTTACGTGCATGTTTATATAAACGTGGAATCGTGGCACGACGTCGCTGGGGACGAAACTAAATCTATTTCAAACATTGGCAAACACCCGTCGCGCAAGGTCGTACATCTTTTTCGATGTCAATCTTCTCCAACCGCTGCCATAGATCTACACCATCTCTTCCACTTCCCCGCCCAATACCACCCCCTCTTGCCGCGGTAGCAATAAGATAATCCTTTTCAAATGCTACAACCTCAACTCTCACATCCTCCACTTCCTTCCCATACAACCATGTTTTGACCCCAGTATACGGCTCACCCCAGGTTTGCACGTCCCGGCCTGCGGGCTCCGGCGCAAGAACATTTGTGAACACCAATTGTCTCAACCACGGTGCCAATAGCGCTTCCCCAGTCATCTTGATATATGCTTCTTTCAGCGCCCAGTAGGTATAGAACAACCGGAACCCGTATTCCACAAGGCCGTCCTCGTCGTTACCGATATGTGAAGGCACTCCGTGCAAGCTTTTGATGGTATCCAGCTCGCGCTGGGAGAAGACTTCAGAAAAAATACCGACGAACTCCTCCAATGCTTGTTTAGTTTCCGGGGTATTGCGGCGCTCGTTCACGCAGGTGATGTCTATTCCTACTTGGGGAATAGTTTCGGGGGGTGTAGAGGTGGGATTGGTGTTTCTAATAACATTGGTAGGCGCAATTGAGTCATTGTTGCTTGACGGCGGTAGAATCGTCCCTGCGAGAGCTACCAGGGATGCTTGATGGCTGACATTAAATTCAATGTTTGGAATTGGCTTGTCTGTAGCTGCAGTCTCGATGAAGCCTATAGGGTTGAAGTAAGGCCGATGATGCGGTGCTGGCGTTCGGCTGATGGTAATTTGGTTCCATGGGATGCGACATGTTCGATGAATGAAGAGATATTTCAGGAGATTAGATGCAAGGGACATATGCTTGTCTTTTAGATGATAGAAACGTTTGGCCGACTCCTGCTCTGATGGTTGGAGTGTTTCCAGTAGAGGGAGGGATGAGGTGGTTGCTGTTAGGTCCCGAGTGTCGATATACCACCGTACCATGTAATTGCTGGACTCATCCTGTGGTGATTGCATGTTTAAGGCGCTGGGGATGGAGTACTATGAAGCGGGGTGATGAGACGTAGAGCAGCTTTGTTGATAGACTACCTTCAGTGCGGGGAATATTTATTTGTGAAGTATACCGAGTATTTAGTAGAGCAAATAGTAGAATAGCTCAACCACCATCATAGATCCATGGTTATTAATGAATATGTCGAATTGTCTTCTTGATTAACAGAGCACTCAGCTACAAACAGAGATTCATAAATCTTCCGTACAGAATAAGCAAAGGTCACGTTTCTCAAATTGATCACCGTGCAGGAACGTCTTATCATGCGGGGCAGCACGTGGAGATAGCTCGGATACATGTTAATCCGGTGATATATACAGGCCGTGAATGGCCAACACTTGACTCATTTTCTATGAATTATACAACATTGAAATGAGCATCACCGTCGGGGTTCTCGCCTTGCAGGGCGCATTTTACGAGCATGTACAGCTGTTGAAACAAGCAGCAGCAAATTCAGCCACAGAGACCACAGCCTCGCCCCAATGGGAGTTCATTGAAGTGCGAACCCCGCAGGAATTGGATAGATGCGATGCGCTTATCTTGCCTGGTGGCGAGAGCACCACTATCTCTCTTGTCGCAGCTAGGTCTAATCTTTTAGAACCTCTGAGGGATTTCGTAAAGTATGACTTCTCAGAAAGCCTGCTCTGCTTCTGAAAACTGACCATTTATCCACGATAGGGTCCATCGCAAGCCAACTTGGGGAACCTGTGCTGGGTTGATTCTACTTGCGGAGTCCGCCAACCGGACAAAGAAGGGTGGTCAAGAGCTTATCGGAGGTTTAGATGTGCGCGTAAATAGGAACCACTTTGGTCGTCAAACCGAGAGTTTCCAAGCGCTATTGGATCTGCCGTTCCTGAACTCTTGTGGGCAAGACCAGCCTTCTTTCCCAGCTGTTTTCATCAGAGCACCTGTTGTCGAGAAAATTTTGCCACACGAAGAGGGTATCCAAACAAGCGAGGTTCAAAGAGACGAAACTGTCGTTGCGCCTTCAAAGCATGCGAAAGACCAGGCGGCTCTGGACGCAGTGGCGACGCAGGTTGAAGTGCTGGCAACACTTCCAGGCAGGGCCGCTAAACTGGTTAGTGAGGGGAGGGATATCGACGCAGACAAAGAAGCTGGCGATATCATTGCTGTCAAGCAGGGAAATGTTTTCGGGACAAGCTTCCACCCTGAGCTCACTGGCGACGCCAGGATCCATTCATGGTGGCTGCGCCAAGTGGAGGAGTCCGTGAAAAGAAGGAGGAAGTTAGAGCAATGCTAGTTAATGCTTTGCATTATAGAAAGAGTTTGTATAGAAAGACTCGTCGATAGATTGGGTATCGGATGTAAATATTCTTTTGTTGATGCCGTTCCTTCTACCAAACCAAGAGATATAATGCATGCAAACGCCGTACATGCGCCAATCAGACAAAGACCCATCAAGATTACCTACCCTTACCATATTCTTCTTCTTCCCGTTGTCTCTGATCATCTGCATAGGCCCGTCCATAACCGCCACGTCCTGGGTCGTACTCCTCTCGGTATTCGTCGCGGACCTGACCACCAGATTTACCGCGACTGCAAGGATATTAGAAACGATTTGGCCTATGGGGAATGAGCGCTTCTCCACATACCCGTATTGTCTTCCTTCCTCGAAACCAGGGTCAAGATCAGTCCGGATAATCCTCTCATCGAGCTTGGTGCCGCCAATGTATTTCAAGCAATCCAACGCATCTTGATGTGTGTAATATTCGACGAAACAAAAGCCACAGGGAGTCTTCGTATATCGGTCGAGTCCCATCACAAGTCGTTTAACCTCTCCACATCTGAGTTTATCAGTTAGTATGCGATCTTCGGCACGGTCGTTGCGTGGTATCTGACTTTGAGAAAAGTTCATGGATCTGTTCCTCTGTTGTGTAGAAAGAACTGAAATAGTCAGCACACGAAGAGAGGCCCATAATAAACCGTCGGCGAAGCAGGGGACATACAGATTACCAACATAAAGAGTGGTAGCATTTTTCAAGTTGTCCGATGGCTCTTCTGCAACCTTCTCCGGTTCATCTTGGCTGTACTTGCGCTTTTTGTTCTGGATATATAAGATATATGTTAATTATCTCTGCGATCCAGCCAGCTGTCCTCGAAGAAGTTTTGTGAAGCTATACCTTTCCCAGGTAGTAGGCGCTCGGTCGATCGAGCCTGTCCACGGTGTTGCGTGGTGATACGGTCATGGTCGAGAAAACACGATAAGAATTCGATGATAATTGGGTAGAACCTACGATAAAAATAGGTAAAGAAGAAAAAGAACTGAAGACAATGAAGGAGCAAGTTGAGCACAGGAGGTTGTAGCAGATGCAGTCAAGGAAAGCTCACCAATGGAGCTTGTTCACGGAAACTTACGCTATTCTTGGCGCCCGTTGTTCTTATTGAGTTCTAGTGAGTGGTGCTTCCGCCAAAATTTCCCCATACACTGTTTTGTTACGGGCGCATTCTCCCGTCTTTATCCCCAGCACTGTCATTCTTTCATTTAACAACCTTGTCGCCGGCAGAGGGTGGAAGTATAGTGCCAAATTCGATTTCTGTGTGGAATAGATGCTTCAACAATGCCGAAAGTGATCAGTTACACACCTCCGTGGCTCTCACGCCCTTCTCCCGGAGCCTCATTGTTTTCAGGCACGGCTCCGCAAGCTCCAGAGAATGTTTCAGGCAAGCTTCGGCAAGAAATTGATTATGCTGGGCCCACTCGCATATTGGCAAAGAGAGGGAACGAAGCGTTTACCGTGGTCGACAACCAGATCCGTTGGTCGAGCCTAGCGCGTTTGAAGAACGAATGGCAGCAGCAGACAAGATCAAGGAAAGGCACACCTGACGAGAAAGAGGACCCAGAAGGACATTCGGATGCTAGCGACAGTGTGCACTACAGGGTATGGCAAATTCTCATACGGAATTGGCTGTTATTATAATATACGACTGACAACCATCAGGTCTTGACAATTCCAGTTTACGAACAAATCCGGCAACTCATACCTTCCCCCAATGGCGCTTTTCTGGCTATCGTTGCGGACCATACGGTTCATATTGCCGTGCTTCCAGATCCATCTCATTTGTCTGGAACAGACAGCTCGCCGATTCGTGTCAAGACCTACCAGCTTGGGCCTACAACGCACGTGATACCCGAGTCGCCTGTAGTATCAGCTTTATGGCATCCGCTTGGAGTTCACAGCAATCTTGGAGGCTGTATTGTTACCGTCACCGTAGATGCCGCTGTACGGGTCTGGGAGCTGGACCGAAATAATCAATGGTCTTTCGACCGTCCTACGCTATCGATCGACTTGAGAAAGCTAGTGGATGGCACTTCCTCTGACGAGGACTTTTCGCCATCCGGCTTTGGAAAGAACAAAGGGTTCTCTGCGGATTATGTTGATATGGAAGTCGCATCTGCTTGCTTTGGAGGCACAGGGAGTGAGAAGGAGGACGCTTGGGCACCAATGACCTTGTGGGTTGCGATGAAACCGGGCGACCTTTACGCCCTTTGTCCGCTACTGCCCTCCAAATGGAGAGCCCCAGCTACTACCATTCCTTCGCTCTCCGCGGCTATAATTCCAAAGCTGGCAGCTCTTGAGGAGGATCCCGCCGATTTTGAGGATGAGCTGACTGCCTGCCGGCAACAGTATGACTGGTTGACGGAAATTGATAACCAAGACCCCCTGCATGTTTACGATTCAGATACGGGCCCCGAGTCGGAAATCCTTACTCGCCCTGCCAACCCCAGTGCGATCCCCAGACTGCAAGGACCATTCCGGATAGATACAGGAGATGAGGTCGATGACTTGGACCTCTGCGATCTTCATGTTATCGCTGCCAAAGTTGACGTCGATGCCCTCATGATGGGCGAGGAGGATGAGCTTTTGCTTGAGGACAATGGAGAGGACAAGCTGTCGGCCACGGTTATCTGTCTTTCTACAGGAAGTGGAAGAGTTCACGTTTGCCTTGAACTTGACGGGGTAGAGGGGCAGTGGCTTCCTAGGGCTAGAAAGAATGCCTTTAGGACCCCACTCTCAGAGCCATCTGATCTCGTTTTGGTGGAATCGCTGGACACTATGAGGGAAGGACAACATTCGTTAAAGAACTGGCCGACATTTACGAAAGACGTGCATTCGAGATATAGCTTCTTCGTGACTACCGAGAACAATGTAACGTTTTTCTCCCTTTCTTCGTGGGTTCAGAGACTCGAGGCGGAACTTCAATCTGAGGACACAAGTGGCTCGGGCTTCCGTTTGGAGGTTCTCTGTGAGGGCACTGTGTCTCTGAGAGAACGCATTCTTCAGACAGACGAGGCCCATAGAACTGCGAAGGATCAACCAGACCATCTCCCGTCCTCGGTGATCTATTATGATTACGATCTTGGCTACTTATTACTGACCTATCATGGTTCTCATCCATATGCTGCTATCATGGATACTCCTGAAGTTTCTTTCCCATCACTGACAGAACTGAATCCGGATGCCCGTGTTCCTGGCTCCCCTGTATTGCCACCACGCCGGCCGCCTTATCAGGTTCCCGCTATCTTTTACTCTGATTCTCCCCTGGAATTCTTCGTCGATAAACATATTCCCCATCGCCAGCGACACACTCTCAAAGAACAAGTTCGCCTGTCTCCGGCGACGTTAGATCTGGTGGCCGCTGCACATCGGATTCTCTCTGCTCATACTAACGCCCTGGAGAGGGCAGCATCAGACCTGTTCCGCCGATGTGAACGGCTGCAGGGAGAAATGCAGGAGCAACTGAAGCAACTCACCGATGTGTCCGAGCGAATCAAGGGTGTATCGAGCGAAATTGGTGAGGACGGTGAGCGGAAAGAGAACTCCAGAAGTGGCGAGGCGTTGGATAAGAGGCTCCAAGCGGCGAAGGATAAACAGGAGCAGCTTGTGCAGCGATATGAGGCAATTCGTAATAAGGTTCTAAAGTCTGGTGGAAGACCACTTAGCCAGAAGGAGAAGTCATGGGTGTCGGAAGTGGAAACATTGTCAGAATCATTTGGAGATTCGAGACAGGAAGACCAGCATAATAGCCAGCAGCTGTCTGAGAGGCTTGAAACTGTGAGTTTTTCTTACCACTGAGAGTATCATACGATGACGCTGACAAGCCCTGTAGGTGAAGGAAATCGCAGCCGACCTCCTTGCTGAGGCCAAGTCTGTAGCAGCGAAGGCTCCCCAAGCAACGGAGCCTGGCAGCCCGGCATCACCCGGAGGTGCTCATCCTAGAGTTCCCCAGAGACTGCAGCGGGCCAGGATTGCAGATGCAATGAAAATGGTGGAACGAGAGTAAGTCTCCTCGTCGGGCTTTTTTGCGTAGCTTATGCTGATGATTCTTCTCATCTAGGTCTGCTGTTATTGAAGCGATTTCGTCACGCTTGGAACGATTGAACGCAAGTATATGAACAAGCATGAATATGTAGTACTTGAAGTTCGTAGTTGATAATACCTACAAATAAGATGTGACCATGGTGTTACTTTCTCTTGTCTGCCGGTCTAAACAGCTTGCATAATTATGTCTCTTCGAGTAGTATCGTAAGAAACCACCAATTTTCATTCTATACTTGTCCTCCGTTCGAAGGGAGATAGGGTACGCAAAGCAACGAAGGTCTCCTCACCAGACCCTGCATCTTTCCACACCTCTCCGAAAGACAACCGGGTCACACGTTCTAGACACATCATACTCATGCTGGACAGATGATCCGCTCCTTTCCCTGGAGGACCCCTTCATTTCTTTGGAGTCTCTTGGGTCTGCTTCTATTGATCTCTTTTTGGTCACATTTTCTTCCGACACCCAGTCCAACTTCGCAGTGGCCCCGAACCCCTCTGGCTCCAGCTTCCTTGCCAGCGCAGCCCGTCTAAGCACCATACCTTCTTTCCTCAAACAGACCTTACACATACAGCTTTCCTCGGTTTGCATTAACTTTCGACCCGTACACCAGATAAATCCGTTGCAGTTTATAGACCCCATGTCAAAGATGCAGCCGCAGAGTATGAACTTGCTGGACAAGTATGCACACATAGTGCTCATATGAATTGGCCAGAAACGTGGCAAATCATGACCTAAAGGCTGGGAGTGATGCTGTGGAGCATGGCGAAGGATTGAATTCTTCAACTACTAGAATGACATTTTTTTTTTTTTTTTTTCATGTATAGTAGAGTATGAACGGACAAGCAGGAGGATGAGTATCTGGTTGTTACTGATATATAAGGATCACACGTGAGGACTACAGATGACGGCAGTCCATTGGTAGCTTAGACTGTGGCAGAATATATATACCATCAATGGGCAGTTAAGAGGCAGCACCATGGTGAAGAGTGATGGAACCATGGCACCTACCTGGGTCCAGACTGTAGCATTCACTATGGTAACTGCCAAAGTGAATACGATTAACGTTCCCAACTTTGGTCTCTCAGATCGCAACCCCACTCCACTTTTCAACCGACATCTCATCTCACCATTATTTAGGAGTCTCCAATACTCTTAACGTGGACCGAGCCCTAAGCAACATGGTAGCCATCCGCATCTACAGGTTCCAGAAAGAAAACCTCAATATCCCCGCTCACCTCGAAACAATCATACCAGCAGAGCTCCGCACCGCATTCTATCGCGCGCGATACATAGCTGGACAAACCTTTCGAAATTTGGAGTATCTCGAAATATGCCAGGCAAATCGCTACCAGGCAATGTGCCCTCGCACAAGCGTAAACTACTATAGCCATCAAGTGTCTGTCTTACGTCTCTTCAGCTGGCGTCATGATTACCACTGGAGGAATCCAACTCTTGCTCCAACTGAGAAGCTCGACCCAGCCATTCTTTGCTTTCACATAGATCAGTCTGCGTACCAGAGCTATCAGGCAATCTTTGCTAAATACCAAGAAGCGTTCATGTCTGGCCACTTCCTGGCGTGGCATAACGTAAAGCGCGCGGTGGAGGCAACAGCCGCCAAGTCTAACCTGAGCGAGATGGAACAACGAATGTGGAACCAGTTCTGGCATGTCGGCTTTCTGGGCGAGATGCAGAAATGGGAGTCTCGGGCTATGGCGCTTGCTATCCCTTCTTGGGAGGAGATTGTCGACGAGCTCTACAATGCGATCCTGGAATGTGTCGAGGGAGCAGAGGATATGCTGGCCAATACTGCCCATGGTATTGCTAGCGGAAGTAGCTCTTGATATAGCATGTCGCACTTGGACGCACTCGTTTTGTCGGGTTTCTATAGGAGTTCTATTGGCCTGGGTTGCATATTGCTTGGGAGGTGCAGTATTGGGATTTTGGTCGGATGATAACCTGCGATTAGCTCTTTCAGAGTCTGTACGGAGTTTAGGTATGCTCTTGGTCGTCTTGCAAAAACACTTGTGATGAGACTTGGTAGTTAACTCATTGTCTTGTTGCTGACTTTGCTACTCTTCCATATTGGAGAGGATTGGGTCGGGCGCTCTGGGTGCGAGCAGAAAGAACAGTCCTTGAAATTCTTGCTTTGGAACAGGGCATATGAGGCTTGTATTTCATACTTCTCGCGATATTAGGGTGGGTACTAATAATGAATAATGTAGCAAATCACGGATATAGCGTACTATCTACCACTCATATATATATTCTCAAGCTATATTGGTAGACATAGACATTAGTAGCAACTTTGTCATTTCAGTACAGCTCTACTTCTCCTACCATCTACTACTATCAAGCAAGGAGGAATACTACGTGTACCTTCATTTTATTTTACTTTATTTATTTTTCATTTTTATGAGAACGATGTTCAGACTATCCCATTTAGTCTTTTTTATTTTTTGGGAAAATCGAGGGAGACGGAGGGGAAGACAACTCTGCCCAAGCCCTCCACCATATCACCATTCTATTTCGAAAGCGCTTCCTATTGAGGGGATCACTATGCTTCTGTTGTACTTTTCTTTTCCCTCTTTCCATACCACGATAATCTTGAATACCGGAATGGTAACGCTAATACGAAAAATAGCTGAGTGACAACATCTTCGTGAGTTGTTAAACAAAATATGAATAGATCACTAGCAAGTTAGTCCAAAACACTAAATGATCCTATCGACAGAGCCAGATATATTTGATACGCTAGTCTTTGTGACTGTGTTTTACTAGGTTCTATATATGGCACCGTCATATAAATAGTAATGTAGCACATGACTAGATCCTGCCCTAGCTTGGCAACATACTACGACTAGGAAGCAACAACTCTTAATGGATGAAACCAGAAATGGAAGTTTCCTTTTACTGCTGCAATATATATAGCATTAAGTTACAAGATATGACTAATATTTTATCTGAAGTTTAAATCTCATGGAGTGCATAGAAGTAAGTGGCTTTGCCAATACAGGCGCATATGCCATCCAAAGTCGACTCGGCGTGAAGACCAACTATGTAATAAAACGATGACTTCATCTGTAAGCTACTAGTAAAATTTACTACTATTTTCACTCGGTGAGATACAATGGCCATGTTCAATTGTAATTCAAAATCTGGATTTACTAGGGTTTGTTTGTTGCTGGTGGGGGTCATGAAATCTTGCAGATGGGGAGGTTATTGACTGTCAGCGTGTGTGACCATCAGTAATTATCGCTCCTGTATACAATATCATGAGCAGATGGGTCTTTCACAAAAGTTGATATATAGTCCCCACACGAAGGGGAAAGAGAAGTATATCACACAGGTAGTGGTCTTCTCTCTAAATGTGTTTATGTTTATGTATCGAAATAGGAGACCATCAAATTTATTGAATTCTGCATGCGATAGATCATAACCGTTAGCAAGTTTATACAGATACATTTACAAGCTACATATTCAGCTTACCGTTCAATGAGATGGACACCTGAAGCGGTATCAACGATACCGCTAACCTGACCGGGCTGTAGAGCAAAGGCAGCGTCCTCGAACTCCTTCTGCATTTCTCCACGTCCAAAGAAGCCACTGATGCAATGTTAATTTCACATGGTAACGAGCTTATGGATGAAAAAGGATGTACATACAGATCACCCCTTTTCCTGGCGCTGCTACAGTCTGATTCTGACATCGCAAGATCTCCTAAGCTGACCTCGCCCGACTTGATGCGCGCTTCATGGCCACGAAGGATTTCAATCGCCTCCTCCTTGGACCGAGTAATCTCTGGATCTTTCCAGCTGCTGGGTCGTCTGCTCTCCTTATGCTTGACGAGAAGGTGGCTGCAGCGGATTTTCCCTTCACCCTGACCTGTGCCATCAGGCCGACTGGTGGGCCCGCTATGGTAGTTGGCCATGTAAACCTTGAGCGTATCCGTATCAGTGCCTGATGGAGGCTCCCACCGCGATTCTTTTGTCATGGGGTTGAAGTAATAAGGGAGGTTCTTGGAGTTAGAATGGCGGACCTCCCATCCGGCCGGAAGACCTGTCTCAACCTAGAAAAAGCCGATTTCAAATCAGTATAAAGCTTTAATAGGGGTTAACCATTAAGTAAATATGATATGAAGCGTACCATGATGATTTTAGATACGTGTGGTATGGAATTACAAGCTTTATTAAAGGAGTCTTTTCAGGATATGCACGATTGTAGGAAATAAGAAGAATAAATGCAAGTAATAATTGCCGTGGCAGCTCCTGCGGGACAGACTGCGGGGGAGATGAGGGACAAACACAAAGCATGCAAACAGCGCCAACAGTACAAACATCATCAATAAGGCTGTGTCCGTGCACTCCGATCGTGACTACTAGTGCAACTTCCCTGTAGGCCTTCTTCGGACTTCCATCGCAGGTATTATTCTTAGTACCAGGCACTACCTTTCGCCACCGACATTTCCGTATAAGACCCGTGAACAACCTTCATATTTGCAACTACTTGAAATCTCTTTTCAAGCCTATCACCGACCTATTTGCTCGAGTTCCTCGACGAATCTTCAGCTTTTAGAAAAATGTCTGCCAGCCCATCTCCTTCCGCCGGTGGCGATAGTAAGACAAATGAACAGGTCCACTTTCGTTTTTGTCGCGAATGGTAGGCGCTATCCTTCTTGACCCTCTTCTATTGACGATTTGGCTAATTGCGCTGTTATAGCTCCAACTTACTTTACCCGAAAGAAGACCGCGTCAATAACCGTTTGATGTTTACGTGTCGAACCTGCCATGTCGGCGAGCCGGCAAGCTCATACTGCGTCTATCAAAATAAGCTCAACAGTCAAGTCGGAGACACAGCTGGTGTGACTCAGGATGTGGGATCTGATCCTACGGTTTGTCTCCCAGGTTTCTGTGCTCATTGCGGGGAGGAGATCACTTGTTTTTCTTGCGGCCAGCCCTCTGAAGATGAGTTGTCCGAATATGATTACGAGGGATTTCCAATGCTTTGAGAAAGGGCTCCAATTTGTGTCATGGAGAGATTCCAAGTGATCTTGCAATTTCCGTGGCTAACCTGCTCTTTCTCGTTCTAGCTTCCTCGGTCGAACAAGCTCTGCCCAAGCTGCGGCGAAGCCGAAGCGGTCTTTTTCCAGTCTCAGCAGCGTTCTGCAGAAACCGGAATGGTGAGAGATCCTTCGACCGTAATCTTCAAACGAGTGACTGACATATACTCTTCAGAAACTTTACTATGTCTGTTGCGCGTGCGGCAACGTCTTCGTATGATTTGGAACGGTCTTTTGTCACCATCGTGTTTTCGATACCCAGTATTGGTCCTTTTCAGCATGGTTATGGAGTTACGGCGATGTCCGAGTAATAAACAAGAAGATATTTTTTTTTTTTTTTTTTTTTTTTTCTTTTTTCTATTTTTTTTTTTTTTTTTTTTTTTATTTTTTTTCCTTCTTTCCCCTCTATTTTAATTTTATCCTTTTTTTTTCAAGATACAATTCTATTGATACAGAGTAGTTATGTAAATAGACGCTTCGCTTTCATAAGGATATTATACATGCATCGGTGCCAACGACAAAATTTTCGACCATTGCTTTCCTCGTAGTTCTGTAGCCACGACTCCTGTGATGTAGGTCAGAACCTAGCAATGCAGGCATCAGGATAAGGATACTCACCGTTCATTCTTGTTCCGATAGGGTCCCCAGACTTGTTCACCAACACGCAGGCATTATCATCGAACTTGACAATGGATCCATCTGACCTCTGCATTTCTTTCTTCGCCCGGACAACGACGGCATGACGAATATCTCCGCGACGGACTTTGTTTGCAATACCACTGTTGTTCGAGCTTTCGGGGCCAAAGTTCCGCTGTTTCTGAACCACCACGACGATTCGGTCACCTAATTTCCATCAAATCGATCGGCGTCAGAACTGTATCGGTAGGAGGAATTGAGAGAAAACTGAGAGAAAAGTTTGAAACCTACCGACTGTGGCCGGCCGCTTCTTCTTCAGGACATTCACGCACTCGACAACTGCAGCACCGGAGTTGTCGATGCAATTCAGCATCGTCTGATGAATGATTGTTAGCCAAGAGAGTCCAGAATTTCGGAAAAGGACAAAATCGCATGGTTACCTTTAGTTGAATCATCTTGATCGCATGCCCTAGGGGGGAACGGCCAAAGTATCAGATAAAGGGTAGACTTATCCGTCCGAAAGATTTCCAGCACGTCCGGACCGGAAAGGTTTTGCCGACCACCGACCCCGGACGGCGGACGGGGCGCTGGTGCTGCAGGAGGCAGCGTCCAACTCATTTTAAGTCGCATTTATTTAATTAACAGGGCAACACAGCCGTGTGTGTCGTGCTTGGAGCCTCTTGGATAGTCGCCCACTTTCCCATTCGTGCGCGCTAACTTCCCCTGGGGGGCCTTTTTCTTCCTTTTCATTATGCCTGTTGAACTGGATTTTTCTTATCCTATCTAGTAATTGTTTCACCATCACGCTCTTTTCGAAAGTTCTAACCCCCCTTGGTGTTAATAGTACTATTCCCGCTTTTCCTTACTGTGCCTCCTTTGACATATAGACACATTAACTTAACACCGACCAATTAAGACAAATTCTTCACCACACCACAAATATTCTTTATATGAGAAATTGGTGAACTCGCAGATTGACATGCCGTCGTCGAAAGCAAGAGACAGTCCCTCTGTGGAGCGTCGCGACCGTCTTACTCTTGCAAAATTGGCCAGCTATGACGATGTCGCGACGGATGCGCTGGTTGACCGGGTACGCTATCTCACTTAGAGACACTCTCTTTGGATTGTATCTAATATGGCTCACACCGCAGGCCTATTTCTGGACCAATACCCGCAAAAATCGAACGAAATATATTCCCGTGAGAGGGATACATGAGGATGATGTCGCTCGTATTATCCTTCACGATGTCATTGTTGCCAAGGATTCTGCGCAAGCGGAAAAGCAATTGCTAGCAATGTCAGGCATGAAGAAGTACTTGGCTAAGCTTCCGAATGACCGCGAAAAGGAATGGTTTCGCCGGCATCTGCGCAAGTACATACAAATGTATCTCCCTGACTCGCCCTTCGAAGTTACTACGACCAATCGCTACACGATTACTGAACATGAGGCGGCAATCTGTGCTAGGAAGTTCATCAAACAGGGCCAGGAAATTAAGTATCTTAGTGGGACGCTTGTCCCCATGACCCGCGAAGAAGAGCAGGAGTTGGATCTGAAGAGGAAGGATTTCAGCATAGTCATGTCTAGTCGGAGAAAAACGCCGTCGTTCTTTCTCGGACCCGCTCGCTTTGCCAACCATGACTGCAATGCTAATGGCCGATTGGTAACACGGGGATCGGAGGGCATGCAAGTTGTGGCTACTCGAGATATCTACATAGGAGAAGAGATCACTGTATCATATGGCGACGATTACTTCGGTATCGACAACTGCGAGTGTCTTTGCCTAACATGTGAACGGACAGTCCGCAATGGCTGGGCACCTCATGTTGACTCCGAGGAAGGGTCAAGCAAGGCATCTACTCCAGCTTTGAACGATGAAGCGATGTCTAACGACAGTTTACTTTCACCCAGAAAGCGCAAGCATCATTTAGATAGTGATTCAGATATCTCTCCCTCGAGTACGCCTAGGAAGAGGAGTAAGTTTACACGACAGAGCTCTAAATTACGATCAGCAGTATCGCTTGCAGATTTTGCTCCTTCTGTTGGTTCAGGGTCGGATAATCCAACGCTCCAAGCAGAGACTTCAATTCTGCCTGAAACCACGGGAGCCGCAAGTATAACCAACGACACTATTCTACCTGCAAGCGGCTCTGCTGCGGAGGTCACTCAAGCGTCTACTACTGACTGTGATTCACCTCCTTCGCTCGCGGCCGACGAGTCGCAACACTCGTCAACGTCAACCACACCGACATCAATCGGTGATGTCAAGATCAAGGTGGAGGATACAGTGGAGACTTCCCTTCCTGGATCAGCCTCGACGACGGCGACCCATCAGACACTTTCCGTCACAGGCCAGCCTCACAGCGACATACACCTACCGGGACCTGGCAACGACGAGTTGTCAGAATTGTCCGCGTTAATTGAGACTCCCCAGAAACCGAAAAGGTCGAGGGGTTCTCGCTGGAAGCACAACGTTGTCCCATCGGTTGAGGAAGAGTCGCACCGTGTTCGGGTCCCTGGTGACTACACGAAAACCTCCAAGCTGCTTGCGCAAGCCTACGATCGATGGGTAGACTGCCATACTTGTAATGTTTGGTTTGTGCAGCAGAATTCATATCTTACTCGGCGAGAGTGTCCCCGCTGTGAGCGTCATTCAATGCTATACGGTTTCCGATGGCCAAAGACGGATAAAGAGGGCCCAATGGATGACGAGGAGCGAGTGATGGATCATCGGACTGTTCATAGATTCCTGTACCCGGAGGAAGAAGCCCGCGTCTCTCGCAAAGATCGTGGAGTCAGTTTTGGCATCACTCCCACCCCCGAATTATCTGAACCACGAACGGAGACCGAAGACAGTGAAGCGTGCGATGACCGGCGCAATACTAGAGCGAGCAGGAGACGGACTCATTCACTTCGGATGACTATGTAACGATGATGATGTGTAATCGATTAATAGGTAATGGTTGGATGCTGAGTAGGAGTTTCGGATAACTCTATATTTTGTGGCGTTTGATTTATACCTGGACACGGTGCGATTAATAGGGCTTGTTGGGACTGGTTAGATGATTCCTCTTTTCTTTTTCCATTTGCCAGTTGCTTCTTCTGGTTATGATGTATAGACCTCTCTTATCTTTGCCAAGTCCTTCATTTATTAGTTTTGTTATGTGTGCTGAACAACATCACGATTTGGGGGGCAGCGACTTCTTGCATATCATTAATCGGGATATTTCAAGTCCCTTTGGTGTACAACAGACATATTAGGATTCCACAAGAAAACACCGGGTTTACTCAATTAGACAGAACAGGTGGAGGCTCCTTCGTTCTTGTTGATTCTTCCCCGCATTTATTCGATTGCACCCCGCGTATTTCATGGAGATTTAATGGAAGCTGGAGAATATTCCTGCACCAATGGCGTCCCGCTGTGTCTCCGTTCCTCCAGCTTTAGTCCCTTCGTATCTTGCCGCTTGGGTGAAAATACAATTCTCGGTATATTTCCCACCGATTTTGCAAAAAGGCCGTCTTGAAGGTGAGTATAAAAGAGCTTGCGAGTATGCCTATCATTTCCACATGCGTTGGTCGTCTTGGTGAGAAAACTTATCTCAGTTATGGCGCTCCTCATCTACCAGCTGCTTACTCTTTATCTCATTCTAACGATCTCCGTTGCCAGAGCTTACGAGAATCCCCTCATCAGTCTCGACTATGGAGTATTCCAGGGCAGATATGACTCGACCTACAACCTTTCGTACTTTCGTAAGATTCCATTTGCAGCGCCGCCAACAGGGGAGAATCGTTTTCGTGCCCCTCAGCCTCCCCTGACAATACTAGACGATGTGTATGATACCGATCAGGATTTCAACATGTGTCCGCAACGTACTGTTAACGGTTCCGAGGATTGTTTGTACCTTGGCTTGTTCTCCCGACCTTGGGATGTCCGCTCTACAGCTTCGACCAAAAGACCCGTTTTGGTGGTGTTTTACGGCGGTGGCTTTATTCAAGGGAGTGCCTCCTTCACCTTACCGCCGTCATCCTATCCTGTCCTCAATGCTAGCACCCTGAATGACTATGTGGTCATCTATTCCAACTACCGTGTGAACGCGTTCGGCTTCCTCCCGGGACGAGCCGTCAAGGAATCACCCATATCGGATCTAAACCCGGGGCTCCTTGATCAGCAATTTGTTCTGAAGTGGGTTCAGAAGTACATCCATCACTTCGGTGGTGATCCCCACAACGTCACCATCTGGGGACAATCCGCCGGAGGAGGCTCAGTCGTCGCTCAGGTGCTAGCGAACGGCCGACACAAACAGCCAAAACTCTTCTCAAAAGCTCTGGCGAGCTCGCCATTCTGGCCCAAAACCTATGCCTACGATGCTCCCGAAGCAGAGGCAATCTACGAACATTTGACCAACCTGACCGGTTGCGCGAACACCACAGATACCCTTACCTGTCTCAAAGCAGTCGATGTCCAGACCATACGCGAGGCAAACCTAATCATCAGCGAAAGCCAGAAGTATACAACAAGCACATTCACCTGGGGCCCAGTCATCGATGGCGAGTTTCTCGTCGACACTCTTACGGAAGCTGTGGCGAGCAACTCGCTCCAAACAGATCTCGTCTTCGGGATGTACAACACCCACGAAGGCGAGAACTTTGTGCCTACTGGCTTGCGCTCGCACAACACAACCAATGGATTCAATT